TATTCCGCTTCCTTCTCATCGTAAGTGCTCAGCATTTTTATTGAAGCGCCTTTTTGTTCCGCTGCAAGCAGTAACGCAATGGTATAGCCTTGTTGACGCCCTTTTGCTCTCTTTCGCCCTCTCTCTCTCTTTCTCTCAACTAGGCTCTCTTAGCTTTACAATGCGCGTTTTCGACGAAAGCTACCTTATGTGCAGAATTACTTGGAACAATTTTGTTCGAGATGACGCTGTACCAACCGCATACGCTATTTCTTGTACTGATTGGTAATGTCTCCAGCTCCTCGTCCAATGTTTAGTACAATGCAGTATCACGTGAATGGAGATCAACGTAATAAATACGATCATTATATGGTCAACATACTTAATGTGCCTTTTTCAGAGATTATAATTTTCGTAATTGGTCCCTCAATGCTAAACCAAATGAAACAGGTTGGCGTTCGAAGTAAATAGATTGCAGGTGTTTTGAAACAGCGCATGACATTATACTTCTTCGAGGGAGATAAAACACAGCATCTAAAGTCTCGTAACTTGATGAATCTTAAAACAAAGCACCTGTTTGCGGTGGAATACTGCCTTCTGAGCTCATACAAACTACTTGATTAGAAAGCACGATGACCACACTACCCTGGAAAAAGTTTTTCCTGTGAGTGGAGACATTGCCCGATGCTGTTGTTAACATTTATTGGTATGAGAAGTAGACGGCTCGATCGCTGGGACAATACTTTTAATCGCCTGAGGTTTCGAAATCCGTGGCGCATTCGTCATCAGAGACATAGTCAGAGAGCAATAGCGGGTACGAGTATTTATTGGCACTTATTTATATTGGTATGTTTAATGCATCTCTTCGTAAAGCGCCAATTTTAGCAAAATAAGTTTTGGCAAAACGTCACGCTCTGTGATTCCTGTGTCTAAAGTGCCTGCGTATCGATCGAAAATGAGGGCCTGCAGCTCCATAGGCAACAATCCCATTGTCGACAAGCTGTCTCCTCGTCATGAGAGTGTTGATGCTGAAAGGAGCCAGATTTTTAAATGGGTTTAATTAAGTAGGCCTTCGGTACCTGATAATTGGATCAATTACAGCTGTTGCAGGCGAGGCATAGGATATGGTTAGTTAGTTATGGGGACGGCTCGTATCTCACTTGGTTGAGAGTGGCGTTAGCATCCCTAATAACACGCGTCGTACCCTGACTTGGCCCCCGTATTGGTCTAAGGCATTTTCTTCGGGACCCGTTGTAGTGGCAGGAAAAACGAGCTTGAATAACAAGAACAAAGTGGCTAATATGACGACCAGTTTAACACAAAAAATGGAGAAAATGGAAGCGACTCCTAATCTATACTCGCATATATAAGTCAGTTATACTTATGCGGGAAAACGGTAGTGGTGAAAATTGACCTAGGAATGTCTTCGAATATTAATAGATGATTCGGGTTTCCAAATATAAGGACAGTTGTTCTTTTTGATCTTGGCTCGCGACAGCATATAGCATCACCCTTCGGTAAATTCACCTTCCTACTGAAGTTTTTTATGTAGCGTAGTCTCTACTTTTTAACTTCGAAATGTAGCGTACACATATAAAGTCATATCCAATGAAAGAAAACATAGAGGATCTTATTACTTCTTATTGTACTGGCAAAATAAACTTTCCACATATGTCTCTCTCACACACATACAAACACAAACTATTGAGCTTATCTCTTCAACTGATATTTTACACCGACAAGGTAAACTTTTGTTTGTGCATAGACAGGAATGGGATTTCTTCGCTTTTTAATGCTCATGAACAGTGTTATCACGACCTGGACCCAAGACACTGGCTTTAGAGCGGTCCGCTGTGGCGATGACCTAGCTGCACGTGGGCACGACCTTTATGCTTCTGTATGTCATACTGCGAGGGTTGATGGAATCCGAACGACAAATCATGTTCTTGAAGGTTTAAACACTCTGGAGGAAGCCACATGTTGGATGGTGTTGCCGATGACAAGAGATGATCATTGTTAGTTCTTGGTTCGACACGAGCGGTATGCATACAGGGTGTCGATTCTGCATGGAAGTTGGATGAGCGAAGGTTACCCGAAGTCATCGTTGGCAGGTGAAAAGGCAGAAATTCGGGGTAGGGGTATGGAGGTGGAAGCTGAAATCCGAACTCTGGCAGGAGAGGAGGTTGGTCGTAAAGTTCACGACTAAAACAATCACAAAAAAGAAACCTAAACAAACCTGCCTACCAAAATTACTTCAACTGCCTGCAGTAAACGCAAAAATACCTGTTGACTAGCAGTAAATACCTAAGCTTTGTAATTGATTAAGAAAAACTACCTACTTACTTTGTTTTGATAGCCTGAGTTGAACATGTCAAAATTAGGTGTGTTTGTCTTATGTAATTTCGTTGCCGTATTTCCTGACATCCACCCCCTAGTGAAGTAAAAAAAATTTATCCAGAAGTATTACCGAAGAGGATTAGTGACGCGAAATTGCCGTTTTTTGTTTGGTAGTCCTCATCAATCAACCGTACTCCAAATAACAGAGGCTTTATCAATGAAGGATTGGTTGTTTGGGTCTATTTAGCTCATAGAAAGAAGGAGTGCAAATAAAGGCAACGGAATCTGAGATGGCCAGCCGCACCTAACTCAAAGTGTTGATGATCTGAAATGCGAAACCAGATTATTCAGCTGTTGAGCGTTTTTAATTTCAAAGCCCTAACATTGAGCCACGGACCCTTTTTCCTGTCGCTTTAAATGGGGAATATATATGTTTATTCAGGGCTCGCATGAGTCTATTCGGTTTAATGTGTACTACTACCTATAGTGAGGAACAGTGAATGAGTATCTCGCGTTTACTAGCCGTCATCAATCTTCCGTACATCTAACGTCCTATGTTGCGGTGTCAACGATTTTGGCCTGGGTCCGGGGGGTCATTAAAGATCTGTTTTGTTGCTCTCATAGTCATGTCAATCGTAGAACAGCACAAAACGACTTCTTATTTAGACAAATTTTCATGCAATAGCCATCGGTTGGTTAGACTGAAGAAAGGCCAGTATGGAACTATATTTGTCCCTTCTAGTATCCCTAATCATATTCAGGCATTACATGGACTCAATCGGTCACATGAGCGTACGAAGATGATCACTAAAGTACCATCAACATCCCTTCACAGTTTACATTCGGATGGGGACAATTTCATCCGAACAAATTAACTCCTGACACTTCTCTTTTCTCTGTCTTTAGTTCACCAGTCGTTCCTTTTAATCGGACAACATTTTTCAACTGCACATTCCTCCTATCTTGATAATTTGAAAGTAGTCAAAGGTTTGATTGTCTTGTGTTATTTAAAAATAATAATCAGACTCCTTAATCCCTAACTTACCGGAGGCGCGCCTGCCTGGCCTCTTTCAGTTCCTTCTTCAGTTTCATCCGCCTGTTCTGGAACCAGATTTTTATCTGTCGTTCAGAGAGTTTCAATTCTCGCGCCAGTTCTTTCCGGCGTTGTTGACTGAGGTAGTTGGAGTAGTGAAATTCCTTCTCTAATTCCACCAACTGCATACTGGAGTAGGCAGATCGGGATCTTTTTGCGGCCACAGGTGCCTTTGCTGGGCCTGCGTCCTCGTCTCCTTCGGAGCCTGCCACTGAATCCAGTTGGAGGTGGTGACTCGTTGGCAGGTCGGCGAACGCTTCACTGCCCTCGGGAGAGGCTTCAGGATAGGTAAAGAGGAAAGAGCCTGTTAGAGTAGATTACCAGTGAAAAACAAATCTTGGCATAAGCGTATATCCAGTGCTAAATACCTTTCCTCGCGCTTTCTATGTTTTCGAGGAAACTCCAGCGCCAGAAAGGTGACATTTATGATTGACCTACTGAACGGGGATAATAGTTTAGTATAAGTTATCAACCTGCGGAGATGCAGTCTGCACGGCTTCGTGCTGAAATATTCCGAACAAGTTTATACTCTA